AGCTTTTAGTTTACGAAAATTCATAAAAGTTAAAAATACTAGCATTTTCTAAACTTTGTGGGGTTTTTTTTCTGTTTTTTTTTTTTTGAGACAGAGTCTTACTATGTCACCCTTGGTAGAGTGCTATGGCATCACAGCTCACAGCAACTTCAAAAGTTGGGGCTTAAGCAATTCTCTTGCCTCACCCTCCCAAGTAGCTGGGACTACAGGCAGCTGCCACAATGCCTGGCTATTTTTTTGTTGCAGTTATTATTGTTTAGCTATCCCGGGCCAGGTTCGGTGGGACCCACCAGCCTCGGTGCATGTGGCCAGCGCTGTAACCACTATGCTATGGGTGCCAACCCTAAACTTTGTGGTTTTAAACATATTTGTAGTTTATGTAAAATTTGGATAACCATTTAAATTTATGTAACAGCTGTAACTTATACAGAGATTCATTTAATTTACAGTTAAAAGCTAGCCTGTGAAGTCCCGTGATGTGGGGTCAATATCTTATTCACTGTTTTATTTCTAAAGCTTGCATAGTACTTGCTACCTGCAAGGTAATTGATGAGCATTAGGTTCACCATACAGTAGAACCTCTGCAAGTTGACCACTTAAGGGACTGTAACAAACTGATCAAAGTGATCAACATACAGGCCTACTGTACTGATACATGCATGTCTGGTCTTTAAAAGTTAGGTCAACTTAAGGAGGTGGTCAGTGTAGGGAGATGTCAGGTATGGAGGTTCTACGGTGTTAACAGAGTTTTTTATGGTGTCATTGTAGTTTGTATGGAGTAGGTGATTCATCCTGGCAGTATTACTTACCTAATTGAATTAATCATAAGAGTTGGTATCCTTTAACACTAGTATTTACAAATAGCATGCTATATGGTAGACCCAAACTTCCAATAGGGTGAATGTGCAAGAATGAGCAGTTTTCTAAACTTACTTTCCTTAGATCAAGGAGATGACTGCTGATAAAGTACATTTAAAACATCTGTTTTTCCAGAGTTGCCTTAAAAGCTTCAAGTTCTGCAGAGTTTGTATTTTGTTTGAGAAATTGGAAAAGTCTGTATTAGAAAAGAAAGCACAGTAGAAAGCCCTGATATTTATGTTTGAAGATTAACTGATGAAGTGGAGTTCACATCTTAATGTTCATTTACTTTCAAGCCTGAGGAAGCTTGTTCTTAATAGTTGTGACTTCACAAAGAAACTGTGGCTGAGAGGAGTGTGATGGGATCGCAGATGGGAGGAGGGAGTATTTGACAGAGAAGAGCCCCTCTAAAAGATGCTTTCTTTGCATCTGACTGTAAGGTTAGTTGAGGTGGAGTGGAGTAATACTGGTAAATGATGAAATTGTCTTTGGTGCCTTAGTTCATCAGAGCTGGCAGATCCCGAGGCAGCTGTGTACATTCCTGCCAAGTCTGTTCTTAGTCTGGTCTATAACTTGAGAAAAAGACATTAGAAGCTATAGCTCTTGAAAATACCACCCCTCTTTTTCTTACCCTTGTAAGAGCTATGTGAGACAGAACTATTTATAACAAGACTCTTATCTTTTATCCTAATTTTTTCTTATACTTAGTGTCTGGCTTTTGTTACGGTGTTTTTCTTTTCATTCATCTGAAAGTATTTTTTAATTTCCTTTGTGTTTTTTTGTTTTTTTTTTTTTTGCTTTGATCCATTGACTATTTAGGAGTATGTTGTCTAATTTTCACACACTTTAACTTCCTAAATTTTTGTATGTCATTGGTTTCTAATTCTGTTGTTTTTGGAGAATGCATTTTCTCTGATTTTTATTCTTTCAAATCTATAGAAACTTGCTTATAGTTTAATGTAGTGTTTATGCTGCATAAGGTTCCATAACCACTTGAGAGTATTTTGCTATTTAGGGATGGAATATTATATAGCTGTGTGGAGTTGTTAGAGTAAAATATATATCATTTCAATCTAATGATTTAATATTTTGAGGCTATATTCCTTTGACTTACATGAAGAGTTCCTTGCGTGTGTTATCTTAATTCACTGAAAGGCAAATGGGTGGTCAGAACATAGAGTGCTTAGTGTGATAGATTTTAATCTTGTTAGTGCCTGTACTACATGGTAACTGGTGTCATGGGAAAGTTTGAACTTTCTAAGTTAAACTTTTCTAAGATCCAGTTTACTGTGAATATTTGGGATACTGAGTGAGTTTTCCTATTATGTAATTTTTTTGAGAACCGACACATAGATGCTTCCTGGGTTGCAGTTACTTTGCATTACTGTGATTGTTAATTATCATATAGCACCTCCATGAAATGCAAGTTTGCCACTTGCTTGGTCTGCCATTAAAAAAAAAACAGTTTTATTGAGGTATGATTAGTGCATCCTCTGTAAATGTATTATATGATAGTTTGAAGAGTTTTGATAAGTACATGCACCTATATAACCACCACCCTATCAAGACAGCATTTAATCACAACCAAAATTTCTTTCCACGCTAGGCATATGTGTTGTTTCATGTAGATTAAATTTCCCTTTCTAAAATTTCATAAAATGAATTGATGTAGTAAGTGCTGTTATGTCAAGCACTGAGTATTTTTCAAAGTGAATTCAGTTTTGTGTCTATCATTACTTCAGTTTATTGCTAAGCAATATTGAGGCCGGGCATAATGGCTCATACCTGTAATCCCAGATTGGGAGGCCAGGCAGAAAGATCATTTGAGGCTGGGAGTTTGAGATTAGCACTGGCAAAATAGCAAGACCTTGTGTTTATTATTTATTAAAAAAAGAAAACCACACAAGCATATTATGGCCCAGTGTGGTGGCTCACACCTGTAATCCCAGTACTTTAGGAGACCGAGGTGGAAGGATCATCACATGAAGCCAGAAGTTGGAGACCAGCATGGGTAACATGGGCAACATAGTGAGACCCCATCTGTACAAAAAGTAAGGAGAAAAAATACATTGTCTTACTGTGTTAAAATTTACATACTCATTTGTTGATAGACATTTGGATTGTGTGCAGTTTTGGCTCTTAGGCGCACAGCTGTTATGAGCATTCTTGTACAAAGTACTTGATTTTCATGTCCTTAAGTGAAATTATGGTTTTGTGATATCATTTGACATAAGAGTTATTTAGGTATATGTTATTTGATTTCCAGATATTTGAGGATTTTCCTGCATTTCTCAACATTTTTATAGTTTAAAATGTAGTCTATTTTGGTGAATTTTGCAGTTGAAAAAAATGTGTGGCATGCCATTGGTGGGTGGATTGCTCTTGAATGTCAGCAAAGTCAAGTTGCCTGATACTCTTGTTCATGTAGTCCATCTTTGTATTTTTTGTCTTGGGTTATCAAAGTACTAAGAGGGGTAGATTGAAGTTTCCTGTAGATTCCTTTGTTTTTCCTCACAGCTTTATCAGTGTTTCCTTTATATATTTTGAAATTCTTTTGTTATGTACATAGACATTTAGAATTATGCTTTCTTGGAGGAGTTAACCTTTTTGTTATCGTATAGTGTCCTTCTTTATCCCTGTTACATTCCATGTCCTTAAAATTACTGAAGCACAGTGTATCTATATTATTGGAATAAAATCTTGATCTGTCATTTACCACATGCCTTGTACCTGTTTCTTCTGTTTGTTTTTCTTTATTTCCATTTATCTTTTATATATCAGTTTTTTTTATGGTTTTGTTGTATTTTTATTGATCTTTTATAAATACTTTTAGTGGAGGCCCGGCCCTTTGTTAAATTTTATGTTGTCCTTTTTTCTCACTGTACTTCAGATACTTTCAGCATGTTTTAAAATTTATTGATCTTCAAACTTGTCTAATTTCATCCAATAAATTTTTTATCTTAAATATTTTTATCTGTGTTTTATCTGGTTCATTTTTATATGCCATTTATTTCCTTGTTATATTGATGATTTCTAAAATATTTTTAGCAGCTTATACATCTATATAGTATCGAGTTCTTTTTTTTTTTTTTTTTGAGACAGGAGCCTCCAGCTGTCCCCCTGGGTAGAGTGTCGTGGCATTACAGCTCACAGCAACCTCCAACTCCTGGGCTCAAGCGAGTCTCCTGCCTCCGCCTCCCAAGTAGCTGGGACCACAGGCGCCCGCCACAACGCCCGGCTATTTTTTGGTTGCAGCCGTCATTGTTGTTTGGCGGGTCCAGGCTGGGGATTTGAACCCACCACCTTAGGTGTACGTGGCTGGCGCCTTAGCCTGTTGAGCTATAGGCACCGAGCCTAGTATCGAGTTCTTGACTGTTAATTCTGTCTTCTTGTCAGGATTGCATTTTCAGTTGATAGAATATTTTCCTAGTTATGTGTCGCTTTTCTTCTTTGTGTTATGTCTAGTAATTTTTGATTGAATACTTGGTATTTTAGATATTGTTGACCGGGTTTTGTTGTATTCCTATTAAAGAGTGTTAGTTTAGTCTTTCAGGAGTTGTTACACTGAACTCTTCTTGGTTTCACTATCCTTGCACCAAGATACAGAAACTTCGTTTAGTAGAAAATTTGTAGTCATACTTGGAAAGTGCCTGCAGGCATAAAGTTGAGGCAAAACTCTGACTTATATAATTTATTTTCCTTTTTTGGTGTCATCATTCACTACTGCCTATGGCCTAATGTCTCCAGTCAATTAGCTCAATATATATTTCAATTATATTTTTCTAGTTTTATAATTGCTCACAGCAGGAATATAAGTCTGGTTCCAGTTATTCCATCATGGTTGGAAATGGAAGTTTTATCCTACCATTTTATTTTTAAAACTTGCTTTTCACTCAGAAATAGCCTAAAATTATTAATCTGTGCTTGCTAAGTTAGAAAGCCTGTTAATTTTGTTTGAAAATTTTAAAAGAATTAATAATGCAATTTTTCAACCCTTTCATTAATAAAAATACAAATTCTCTCTTCTCTATCTCTTTGATAGTCTGTCTTTTGTATAGTGGTCTGTTGCCTGTTGTGACATTTAAGGGAAGAGAAAAAGCTAAGTGTACTATTAATTAATTATTACATGTCTCATTTTTTAGACCAAAAGATTGTCTTCGGTCTATTATGAGGAGGGTGAACCATAAGGATCCTCATGTTGCTATGCAGGCGTTGACTGTAAGTGGTTTCCTTTGAAGCTCTACTACACATTATCTGCCGTAATCGAACCCTTTTAACATCCGATTTTATGCTTTTAGCTTCTAGGAGCATGTGTATCAAACTGTGGGAAAATTTTTCATTTAGAAGTATGTTCAAGAGATTTTGCTAGTGAAGTAAGCAACGTATTAAATAAGGTAAGAAACATTATTTCCAGGAATTAAGGTAGTTTTCTTTTTTCATGTACTTCATTATTCACTTTTCATATTTTAAACCACAAAAAATTGTTCTATATCTTTTTAAAAAACCCTTTCTAGGCCAAGTCTGTTCAATATATAAGTAAATATATTAGAACCTCCATAGTTGACCAGTTCCCTACATTTACCACCTCCTTAAGTTGACCTAATTTTCATAGACCCGACATGTACCACATGTACCTATCAGGACAGTAGGCCTAGTTCCTTTTGTTGACCAGTTTGTTACAGTCGCTTGGGTGGTCAACTTAGAGCGGTTATACTGTATTATATTTTGCTGACAAGAATATAGAGTCCCACAATTTTGAGAGTTGGATTTTTCAGGTCATATTTGAATATATTTAACTTCTTTTCCCAACATCTCTTTCATTTAATAAGAGAACGTGTATTTCTATATCTAATTAAGTAATATCAGTCTATTTTAGTCACATTTTTTCCTAACTGTTTTTGTAGCCACAGAGGTATTTTCCTAATGTAGAACCCTTCAGAAATACTGTCAAAAATATATGGCTCTGTTGAGTTTTTATCTTGTTGTGAATAAGGCCACTACCTAGCCATCACAGGATTTTAATTACTGTAATGCTTTTCTGTCTGGCTAAATCCACAGCTGAAGTTGCCCCAGAAGTGACAGCAAGGGCGTTCTTACAAGAGACTGGCCCCATTGGGGCCAGTTGAGATGCCAAGAAAAGAAGGCCCAAATACCTTGGTGATGAGTCCTTTGCCTTTCTTAGGGGAACCTACATACAGAGGACTATGAGGGACACTGAGAAAAGAGAGGTTCTTCCCAGATAGGTTGATAATGTAGGGATCAGTTTATGTAGTTTATGTGAGGGACTAAGGAATTTGGCTCAGGGCTATGGCTGATTTTTACATGTTTAGCAGCATATTTGATTTTTTAGTGTTACGGGAGCAGTCTGAACAACTTCATCAGTGCTTGGGAATGTTCAAGGTCCCAGGTTGGGTCTTTGCAGGCTGGGTTGCAGAATAAGTAAGGCACTCTTTGTTTTTTGATTAGGACATAGAAAGGAGGGGGAGGAGATTTGGAACACCATAAAACTGTCTATTTAATTGCTTATGGAATAAAAATCCAGATTAAACAATTCAAGAAATTAAAAAATTTATATAAGTAATATGTAAGATATGCCAGTAAAAACTTGTGCATTATGAAGGTAATTTTTTCTGGCTTTTTTGCAGGGAGAGGTACTAAACATCAAGAAAAAGTTTTTAAGAGGGAAAATGTCTCATGTGTGTTGGGAAAAAATGAATAGTTTTAGGTTTTAGTAGGAAAAAAACAGTCCAGAAGTGTGATGGGAATTTAAAATCGGTACTTTTCAAACATTATGATTATGTGATAATCATTTTCTTCTGCTTTAGTTATATTTAGTTGTTTCCTAATAATTAATAAGTGTTGTCTCTTAATGTCTTGTATGTCCATCATGATGTACAGCTGTTATGAAGAGATCCTACTATGGTTTCTTTAAGTAAAGATGAAGTGTTAAAGTTTAATAGTATCAGTAACTGTTCTGAAAAACAGCTGGGTATAGGAGAGTGGACTTCTCTTTACTTTGTAAATGTTTTACAATAAACATATTGGTTTTTTACCAATATGGGAGGGATGCTGTTTTGAAGAAGTGAGGTTTCCTAGATAAAGTGCATATTAAACCAGGCCCCAGAATAATTAAGGATCATGGGAAAACATACAGTTGTGAATTTTAATTTCATTAAAAATTCAGGAATTAGGAATAAAGGAACTGTGTCATTTATTCTCTCCTTCCATTTATTTTTTTTTATTGGTCTGCAAAAAGCAAAACAAAGTAAACTACTTTTTTTGTCTGCCTGATAGTTGGAGATAATTTGTGACTCCAAAACTCTGTAACACATCATGTAATTTTTATATTTAAAGTGTCTATGAAATAAATAGGAAATTGATACTTTTTGTTAATTTTTTCCTATTTTACAGGGTCATCCTAAAGTATGTGAAAAATTAAAAGCTCTTATGGTCGAATGGACAGATGAATTTAAGAATGATCCACAACTTAGTCTAATATCAGCAATGATCAAGAATCTTAAGGAACAAGGAGTTACGTTCCCAGCTATTGGTTCTCAGGTATTTTGTTACATTGTGTATGTGCTACAGTTTATTTCTATAGAACAGCTGCATTTATTTGAATCTTTCTTTTTCTCTCCATTCTCAGGTAGTTTTTATTAGCTCAGAAGAATTTTTGTTTATAGTTGTGCATTCAGAGGTGCCAGAAAAACATTACAGTAGAATATTAATGTGTCCTTACCTCTGCTTTCACACAATCTGTCTGTCTTTATGAATGAATGGGTTTAACGTTTTGCAATTTTAAAAAAAACTGTTACATAGGTGTAATAATATAGACAGAATAGCTATGTTATGTCAGGTAATATTGACAGTATTGTTAAATGCGCTTACTGTTATAACTTTGTCTACAAAGAATGATGGGTCAAAAATGAGGATATCTTTAAAATTTAGGGAAGGATTTAGAAGTCTTTTGATTAGGATATTTATAAAGACATATATTAAAAATGCTAGGGAAGCTGGGCACAGTGGCCCACAGTTGTAATCCCAAGGATTCAGGAAGTCGAGACAGGAAGATTGCTTGAGGCCAGGAGTTTGAGTCAAGCCTGAGCAACACAGTGAGATCCCCAGCTCTATAAATAAAAAATTAGCCAGATGTGGTGGTAGCATGTGCCTACAGTCCCAGCTACTCTGGAGGTGGAGACAGGAGGATTGCCTGAGCCCAGGATTTCTAGGCTACAGTGAACTGTGTGATCACACCACTGCCTTCTGCTCTAGTCTGGATGAGAGAGTAAGACTCTGTCTGTAAAAAATAAAAAAATAAAATAAAATAAAAATGGGAAGGAGATATAAGGAGTGAATGGGAAGAGAAACACAGGAAACACCTTTTTCCTTAATAAGAGCTGACTGTATATAAATCTTCTTCCTTTCCCCCAACAGATAAGATTGAAAGGCTTAACTTCCTCCACCCCTTCCCCCCCATAAAAAGAATATTTATGTAATGGAATCAAATTCTAACTTATATGAAAAAAACAAAGGTATTTTTTTTCTTTAATTCCTTTTCTATTCTGGGTAACCATCCTTTAGGGTGCCAAACTAGTCTAGAGGTTTCCAATATGTGGTAATTTACTATACAGTCTTTCCCCACCCTGTGAATTGGAGCATATCATAGTGAGTGGTGTGAGACATGAACAGAAATCTTTCAGTGTAGAGGGTTTATACTTGGACTTTTGACATACTGGTTCAGGCCCATCTAGACTAGACTTTCTTCCCAAAGCATTTCCAGTTTTTTCAGTGCTCTTGAGATGTGAATGCCCAAAACTATCTTAGGAAGAAGGAAGGAAGCCAAGGAATTTTTTTTAACTTGAAAAAATTTTGGTTTATGATTAGTTTTATCATGATAAATTGTATAATTGTCTTTAAGAAGTATTTATAATTGATAGCTGGCATTTAATAAGTGTAATTTCTAGAATCTGTATAATTAAAGAATAATTTTATGCAGAATAATCCAAGACATAAATTCCTTGAGAATAGAAACAATGCTAATTTATCAGAGAGTAGACCCTGCAGAGAATAAGAGAGTGTGGATACTTAGTGGAATTGTATTTTCTATACCTGTTCCAAAACTTATTGCTCAAAATGTGGTTTGTTGACCAACATCCTTGGCATTACGTAGAAACTTGGTAGAAACGCAGCATCTCAGCCACCCTCCCAGATCTGTGGATTCACTATCTCCACTGTAACATCCTCAGGTGCCTCTATGCACATTGAAACTTGAGTGGCACTGCTCTAGAGTATCCTTTCAGTGTAAGTGAAAACTGCATTCATTCTACAAAGGGACTTGCTCTTATAAAAGAAGGGAGAGTTATTAATGAGTACTTCCATACATAGCCTTGTTCGGTTAATCTAGAATCTTAGATAGCTGTGGGAACAATTTTAAGGATCCTCTATTCTAATCCACTCATTTTACAGATGAGAAAACTGAGACTCAGAATGATTAAGAGATTTGCCCAGGGCCACAGCTAGTAGTTGACAGAGCTGGAACTAGAACACAGGCATGCTCTCAGTCCAGTGTTCTTTTCACTCCAGACCCTGCCTCTGTTTGATATAGAGGTTAGTGGATATGTGTCTGTCCTTACTGGGCTTCAAAGGACAAGAAGTGGAGTGAACACTGGCAAGAGCATTATTTCTTGATTGGTGGAGGGATTAGGTTATTCTCTAGTTCAAAAGGTTCAGGGCACAGAAGAGCAGTTGTAAAGGCAATAATTTTCTACTTGGCATCCATGCTCCGTGGTTAGGGCACCGGCCACATATACTGGGTCTGGCGGGTTCAAACCTGGCCCAGACCTGCTAAAACAACAATGACAACTACAACAAAAAAATAGCCAGGCATTGTGGTGGGCACCTGTAGTCCTAGCTACTTGGGAGGTTGAAACGAGAGAATCGCTTAAGCCCAAGAGTTTGATGTTGCTATGAGCTGTGACACCACAGCACTCTACCAAGGGTGACATAATGATGATGGTCTGTCTCAAAACAAAACAAAAAAAAGAAAACATGACTTTACTTTTCTTCTTTTGATTTAGGTATCAAAATACACAAAAATTAATTTTGTTATAGTTATCCATTCAGCTACAAGAACATATATATTTATATATATGCAGATATATATACATATAATGTAGATAAAGTAAAATATGAAATAGAGTGATGGTTTTTTGAGTGGTTTTTGAAAAGCTTATCATTGGAAACCCTATGTGAAAAAAGCTTCATGTTTAATGAAAAAATAAATCATCTAGGTTCAACTGAAGAACTCTAGATTTTAAAGCCACTCATTTATGTGATTCCCCACATTTTCATCAGACTAGATTTTTGTCAGGACATACTCAGCAAAAGCCCCTAAAGATAGATTTTTTAAAAAAAGTGTACGTGTATGTTTTCAATCTAAGTACAAAAGAAAATACTGTACAAATATTAAGAAAAATAATACTTTAGCCGCCTAACTCATGCTGATGCAGTTCTCTCAGCACCAAGTTCGAATGTAGAGACAGAAGTAAGGCTGGCACTGCTACTGCATTTGCCTAGCTAATAAAACAAGCATCATTGTTATACTTAGAACCTGATGATAGAAAAGAAGTTTAAAATCGGTTTGGGAATGAAGGGCTTAATATAGTTTATTTCCGCACTTCCTTCTTGATTGATAGAAATTCCTTCAGAGAGCGCAAAAGGTATCTATATTGTGAAATCTACCAGTCTGAACAAAAATTTATGTAAATGATAAAGGTTTTCCTGATGAAGCCTGCCTTCAGTTCTTAGAAGTGTGTGATAATTAAAGCATTATCCTAAAACAGATTGATTGCCTCTAGAGATGGATCAGAATTGAGTTATATTCATTGAACTCCAGAAAGCTTTTATCTTGTCAGCTTTTAAAAAATAAATTTGTTTAACAGCATGAAATACAGTAAGTGAAGAATATAGAACTGTATTTTCTTATAATGTTAAATATTTTGCCTTTCATATACGCAACAAACATTTATTGATTGCTTGTAACATTTGAGCATATTTTCTCAAGAAGCATATAGTCTGATGGTGGGGACAGACTACTACATATTGTAATAAAAGCTGAGATTTATTGCCTGTTACTTTGTGCCAACCACTAGTATAAGTACCGTACCTGTGATAATTTGAATACTTTTTAGAATTCCATTTTTAATTGGTTGTTTTGGGAATTGTGATAAATATTTATAACTGCTCACAATCTGCTTTGTGTGAATATTTTATGTAAAACTATATAGGGCCATTTACCCCACCTCAGCATCCTTTTTGCTATAGTTTTCATGTCTGTTACCTTTATATACAGGATAAACTGTTAGATAATTGCCTCAGAAAGCCCCTTCCCCCAAAAGCCCCTTCCTACTTTTAAAGTTACAACTCCTCCCCAAGCACAGGGAGTGGCTTACCTCATCACTCTGTTCCAATTACCTGCTGCCCACCCCTAACGACTCTTTCCTCCGGCGCAATAACTCCTTATTGGTTATCCCAGCATCCCGTCACCATTCTGAGACTTCCCTATATAAGGGTACATTTCTCCCCCACCCCCGCCCCCCGCCTTTCTCCTCTGCTCTCTCTCTCTTTTCTCTTCCCCACTCTCTCCTCATGTCTCTCCCCTCTTTTCTCTCCTCCTTGGTGCTGCTCTGCAGCCTCCCTCCCCCACCAGTAAAGTCCTTTTGTACAAGCCTTAGTGATCTGTGAGATCTCTGCCGAGTGCCTTTCTTTCATAAACACCTGGAGATAATGTACTTTTAATGTTCTTTTAAACCCTGTGGCTTTGGAAGCTGGGTGTGTTAATTTAGTCATCTGATGAGGCTAGGAGGTACCCAGGAGGTATATGTGCTGTTACTGTCCCCATTGTGTTGTTGAGGAACTTGGGCCACAAAGAGGCTGTTGCACCCAGTGTCATGCTGCTAGAAAGTGGAGAACCTGGGATTTGACCCCATGTCTGCCTGACTCCACAGCTTGCTTTCTTCACCACCCATATCATGGGAACTTGTTCAAAAGTATTGTGAGAGGAACAAAGAGGAGAGAATGTTTAGTTAAAGAATTTAGGAATGTTTCCTTGAGAAAGCAGTATTTTAGTTGTTCAGTGTTCACTGAGGGATGAGTTCAAGCTCAATAGGGAAGAAAGTGGATAGAGCAAAAAGAGCTGGAGGGAAGAGAACCAACAGAAGCAAGGCAGTGTCAGAGGGTTGGCAGGGCTGGGGTTTCAATTGCCTGAGGCTGCTAGCAGTTGCTGATGTCTGGTGGAGTGGTTGAGAATGAGGCTGGGAAGGTGGGCTGGTGTGAAAACTAAGAGGCCTCAACATCTAGACGCTTGTAATTCCAAAAGTGTGAATCAGTTTATAGATTCATTTGTGTACTTGTCCCCACTGCCTTATTTACAAATGTTTAATATAGGCAGTGGTACACTTTAAGAATTAACTACTTGTGCTTTAGTTTGTAAAATAGGATTTTATGAGCACGTATATAATTATGTATAAGTCTGAGTTCTTAAAGATAACATCCTGACTTTTGCTCTGGAAAGAAGCAAGAAAATACAGTCACTAAATAATTTAAAATTTTTTATTTATTAAATTTAAAGTATATAAATTTTTAAAAATTTAATTTTTTTTCCTCTCCTTTCTTTCTGATATTAGAATTTTTCTAAAAACATTGAAGTTTCCTATCATCTTCTGATCTGTGTCCTGTCTGCTTTGAGTTTAAGCCTTTACCCAGATCTAGAGAGTGCTCTTGGGCTGTTTGCCCTGAGAGTCTCTTTACTTCTGGTTCTGACTCTTCTCCCTTTCAAGGTGGATGCTGATTAGGTAAGGGTGGGAGAATTTGAGACCAACCTTCAAATACTGTGTTTCTTTTTTTGTGTGTTAGGCTGCAGAACAAGCAAAAGCAAGCCCAGCCCTGGTAGCCAAGGATCCTGGTACTGTGGCTACCAAAAAAGAAGAAGAAGATTTAGCAAAAGGTGCGTCTTTTAAGTCCTTGGTGGTGGGAAGGAGGTAGACCTCTGACTATTTTTTTTCTGAGATAATTCAAGATGAAAAAATTAGGACTTGACAGCTAAAGCTGAAACCTTTGTCTCCCTCTCCACTGTCCTTTTTCCTCTAATCTTCAGAGGCAACTGCTGTTCCAAGTGTCTGTCTCATCTGTGTTCCTAGTGTTTTTACTGTACCACATATCTATAAACAATATCAAATGCTGTGTCCAGCAAATTCTTTCTTCACAAATAGTATTCTCTAAGTGCCATCCGCACTAGTTTCACTCAACATTATGGGTAAGATCTATTCAGGATGAGACATTTAAATCAAGTTTATTTGACTGAACTGCTGTCAAATATTCCACTGTACTAATAAATATCTCATACTTTTTCTACCCTCCTTACTAATGAACATGTGGGTTCTTTCTGAGTTTTTCACTGTAACAAATAATTCTGCATGAATATTCTCGTACATGTTCTCCTGTGCATATATATAGATGTACGACTGCCTCTGTTATATGTGACTAAAATAGTATAGTTGGATCAGAGAAGTGGTACAGATCCAACTTTGATGAATGGTTACATGGTTTCCTTTTCCATCAGCAGTGTATGTAAGCTATTATGATGACTATTTTTTAATCCCTCAACAAGATTTGGTATTGTTAGAGTTAATTTTTGTGAATCTGACACATTTGAAATGATGTCCAATTATTTTGTGTTTTTACTTTTGTGATTACTGGTGAGGTTGAGTTCATTTTTGTATGTTAAGTAGCTATTCTGATTTTCCCTTTGGTGAATTAGCTTTCTATTCCTGTTTGTTTTTTAAACAATATGTAGAAGTCTTTATTCTAAATATTAATTATTAATCTGTTACCTATTTTATCTGTTGTTATTTATTCCTGGTTTTCAGCTCATACTTTGGCTTTGATCAGGATTTTTTGCTTTCCTGTTATTTTATGTCTTCTTAAAGATATTTTTCTCTACCCTAGTGTCCAAAAAGATATTTTCCTGTATTACCTTCTGGTAATTTTAAAGTTTTATTTTCCTATTTGCTCTTTTATTAATCTAGAACAAAGGTAGAACAGTAGAAGGGGCAATGAGTTGAGTTGAAAGCAGGATAATCAATGCACTGAGATTACATAGTAGAGCCTGAGTGATGTATAGTGATGGTCTGCCCTGGGTGGGTAGTGGTGGACACAGAGGAGATGTATTTGAGATCTCTTTTGGAGGATTTTGTTAGGTGAGTCTTTGGACTGATCATATAAGAATAACCTTTGTAGCAATAAAATGTAGGTTCTTAATACTACCTTTAAAGCTTGATTTAGTTAAGTCTGCATTGAGACTTGGTACTTCCTGGGTGATTTTGATTACTTTTTGGCAATTTAAACTATGTGAACACATTAAAAAGGAAAAAGAAAATATAAAATATCTGCAGCTAAATTTTAAAAAAGTAGGTCTAAGAATTTATATCTTTTTATTACCCAGAATAATTTTAACTATGTGTGTTCAGTAAAAATAGGAGCCATCATAGTGTTCAGTTTTTTTGTTAGTTGATTTATTTTTAAACTTCCAGTTATAAATGAATGAATAAAATTGATAAAATAATTTTTGTTTATTGTGTCAAGCTATGTCCTAGTTTCCACCTACAATATTAAAAGAAGAATATTTTTTTTACCTTGAGGTATCTTTTTGTACTTCTTTGGATTTTTGGATATAATAACATTTGGGGTCTTTCCAAACTCATTATTTTGCAGCCATTGAATTATCATTGAAGGAACAAAGGCAGCAGTCAACCACCCTTTCCACTTTATATCCAAGCACATCCAATCTCTTAACTAACCACCAACACGAAGGTCGAAAAGTTCGTGCTATATATGACTTTGAAGCTGCTGAAGATAATGAACTTACTTTTAAAGCTGGAGAAATTATTACAGTTCTCGATGACAGGTACTGGTTAATATTAAATTGAATATGCATATAAACATATATGACATTACTTTTGTGTTTTTGGTAAGTACACTTACCAAATGTGATAATAAATATTGACCCAGGTATTTTATCTGTATGACAGTTGGTTTGCTTTGTCATACTGTATGGATTCTTATTTTATAGTTTAATGTTTTCTCATTTATTATTTAATTCATTTTTTGTTTTGAAGGCCTAACTTATTCATTTTTTGGTTCTATCTAATAATATAGATCATTAATTTTTTTAAAAAGTTAAGATTTTAGAAAACACTGTGTACATGTATATGTTTTTGAAATTTCTAAGAAATACATCATCTGTTGCATTTATTTAAATAGAACAGTCTGTCCATGTGGAACAAATTATTTTTACGTGGAATTATAAATTTGCATTATCATAGGGGAGGTGATAACAGTACATCAGGTTTATGTATTTTTTATATAGCTTAATGTTTTGCTCAAAAATGTTTTGTTACTGATGCTTGTGAGTGATAGTGAAGTACTGAGTTTTGAAGGTGGTTTTTAAAAATAAATTGAAATTGATCTTAAGTTATTCATGTTTACTGCCTTAGTCCATTTGGGCTCTTGTAGCAGACCACCACAAACTAGTAGGCTTATGAACAACAGAAATTTTTCTCACAGTTCTGGAGTCTTAAGTCCCAGATCAAGCCACCGGCAGATTTGGTGTGAGCTGAGGACCCACTTCCTGGTTAATAGATGGCTGACTTTTCACTGTGTCCTCACATGGCAGAAGGGACAAATGAGCTGTCTGGGGTCTCTTTTATAAGGTCACTGATCCCACTCATGACCTAATCACTTACCAAAGGGCCCCCCCTCCTGTTAACATCACCTTGCAGGTTAAGGTTTCAACATGTGAATTTTGAGAGGACACAAATATTTTAGACTTATATTTTAATTTTTTTTTCTTTTTGAGTAGGAGAAAATGAAGTAAAGTTTGAGTGGGTTATCTGGAAATTGCACACAACCTTGACCATTCATTCTTTCAAAACCATTTATGGAGTACTTGCTAGCTTTCCATATACTGAGCACTGGCTGTACCACGCTGAACACACCAGGGAGCATGCTCCTGGGAACACTTTGTGGTATGAACCAGGCCATCTTTTGTATGTGTTTTGTTGAGAGAAAAAAACTTGTTGGTATGTGTTAGAAAGAGTAATGATTTAGGAATGGAGATTTAAATTAAGAGCCTACCTTTATATCTTATTACAAAGGGTTCTTACACTGGGGCCCATGAGCTACCTGAATTTGATAGTTTTAAAGTGTAGGGCTGTGTGTTGGATGGTTTCTCCCTCCTCAAAGGCCTCTTGTTTGTAATATAGATTCATTGGCTCCTTTACTGGATTGTTGTGAGTAATAATAATCTGGTAATAATGTAAACTAAATGAGACCAAAGACAAAAACTTAGAGTAATAAAAATATTATAGTAAAACATTCTTTTTTGTTCATCACAGCGATCCCAACTGGTGGAAAGGTGAAACCCATCAAGGCATAGGGTTATTTCCTTCTAATTTTGTGACTGCAGATCTCACTGCTGAACCAGAAATGAGTAAGTATTTCTTAATCTGCCAGTGAATGACAATGTATTATCCTCTGCTTATTGAAAGTTGACTAAGGTCAACTTTTTGGAGCAGTGATTCTCAAACGTTAACACTTCCAAGGTATTTATTCACCATGTGGCTCCCTAGGCATGTTTTATCAGAAATAATCTTGAGAATTGAAATGTCTGTCTGCTAAGATTATCTTTGAACCATAGACACTCTTTCTCTGTCTATATGGATACCATTGTGAAAATGCAGATTCATTAAGAAGTATTATTGTCTCGGCACCTGTAGCTTAAGCGGCTAAGGTGCCAGCCACATACACCAAAGCTGGCAGGTTTGAATCCAGCCTGGATCTGCCAAACAACAATGACAATTACAACCAAAAAATAGCTGGGCATTGTGGTGGGCGCCTGTACTCATAGCTACTCAGGAGGCTGAGGCAAGAGAATCGCTTAAGTCCAGGAGTTAGTGGTTGCTGTGAGCTGTGATGCCACGGGACTCTACCCAGAGTGACAGGTTGAGGCTCTGTCTCAAATAAAAAGAAGTGTTAGGGGGTTTATACATCTGTATATTTTTCTCATCAGTTGGTGCGTGCGATAAGTACAATATTACCTTATGGAGGATTCTTTCTCTTCAAAGATTGGGACTGTTTTTTCTAGTGCCGAGCCCAACTTGGAAGCAGGGCGCCGAAGTAAGATGTCAGATATTCAGAAGGAGCCATTTTAATGGATATAACCAATCATATAAATAGTTTTTTATTTAATTTACAAACCCTTGCTGACTATGAGAAATAAACTAGAAAGTGAGGCCATGAAAGAAAAGTGTTCTTAGTGGCAGCCATAATAGTCGTGGGAGAAGTAAGTGCCACCCGTCTGTCAGAGTACTGGGAGAAAGTTCTCTATATTTCTACATAATACTTTACTTCACAGAATCTTCATAATGGTAAGTGTGAGTCATCAAGAAAAGTTTAAGTCATAAACAAATCCCTCTGTTTAAGAAAGCAGAAAAATATGTTCATATCTTGAAAGATTTCTATTGGATTTAAATATTTAAAATTTTAAAAAAGTTTTTGTGTATAAGTTGGTAAGCTATAATTATCTGGCGAAATGTCTCACATTATGTTTTTTATTTTTTGTTTTTTTAAATGGAGACAAAGTCTCATTCTGTTGCCCAGGCCTGAATGCAGTGACATCACCATAACTCACTGCAACCCCAAACTCAGCCTGTCTTCTTGCCTCAACCTCCTGAGCTAGGACTACAGGTTTGTGCCACCATGCCTGGCTACTTATTTTATTCTAATTTTTTCATAGAAACAGGGGTCTCACTGTGTGGTCAGGCTGGCCTTGACCACCTGCCCTCAAGGGAACCTTCGCCTTGGCCTCCCAAAGTGCTGGGATCATAGGCATGAACCATTGTACCAAGCTTCATATTATCTTTGGATAGCAAAAGATAGAGGAGATCAAAGAAAATTAGAAACTACAAGGTACTTAGGGTTTTTTTTGGTTTACAAGGATTTTAAGAAACAATCTTCGTCTTAGTCACTTTTTTTATTTCTATTGGCACCTAGTGCTGAATTACAGAGTAAATGATAAATAAATATGTGTTTACAGCAAACCAGAAATTACAGACCTTTAACAAAATGATGTCTTCTTATAGTTATTGTCAGGTTGTCTTGTATCACTTCTATAGAGGCAGATTTCTGATACCCATTCTTTAATGAAATCTTTTCTTTTTTTTTTGCAGTTTTTAGCCGGGGCTCGGTCTGAACCTGCCACCTCTGGCATGTGGGGCCAGTGCCCCACTCCTTTGAGCCGCAGGCGCCACAGTTCTTTGACTTTATTTTATTTTTTTTGTTCCTAGAACTCAAAAACATGGAGAACCGTGTTTCATTGGCTTTGTATCGTGCACTGACTTTTTAATAACCTGGCTGGTGATGGTGCTTTTTTGTTGTTTGGAAGGCTTTTCTTTTTTCCCTGAAACAGCTGTTGGAAGGGATAGAATTGTCTTGGACTAATGTTCGGGATAAAGTTTGAGATCTCACGTGGCTCATGCGGCTATTTCACCTCTTTTCCATCAGACAGCAGCAGAGCTTCAGTAAGAGTTTTCTAGTTTTTCTCATGTTTCATTCTGGAGGATCTGAAAAAGAAACAGGAGCATCTGAGCTGTAATGGGTTATAATTCTCAAGGTTGGAAAATGAGTGCTAACATGATCCCCCCATAGCATCATTCTTTTTGAGGAAGTAGCAGCCTATTTTACTTAACCTGTTAGTAGAACTATCTACCCTACTCAGCTTACTCTTATTTTGGAGATACAGTACAATATTATGAAAATAATTTGTTATATTTGTAATTAGTGTTTTTTCCTTATACATGGAGCAATAATATTAGTTCCTATGAGAAAAAGGGCTGCAAATTTGTGCCTTGTCAGCTGTTAGGCTATGAAGTCAGCCGTGCTTTCTCCTATGGGTAACAGCCAGTGCTATCTCAGCTCTCTGCTTGTTAATAGCTCAAGATATAAAAAGCAAAAATGTCTGTAGCAGATGTCTCTTTTCCTCTGTGGAAAAATAAATGAGCTAAAACTTATTTTTTTTTTTTTAGAATGTTGCTTTATGGTCACTTGAATGGAATGAATATATTCCTTGTGTTGGACATTAAAATATTTCTGTTTTACATGGAAGCACACAGCACAAAGCTTAAAATCAGAGGCCAGACTCAGACAGATTGGCATTCAAACCCAGGCTTTGTCACTTACTAGCTTTCTCTTGTGTAAGAGTTTTGAATCTTTCTAAGCCACCTTATTTATAAATTTGGCATGTCTTAGGATTGTTCTGGAGATCAATTGAGGAAATGTTGTATTCCATTGAGCCTATTTAAGAGTTTTGTCCCCTGCACAGTTTAGTACATGTTAATCTTTCTAACTTAATTTTATTTTTCTCCCATCTTCCTTTCCATCTTGATTCTTATTTTATGAATTTTGTCTGGCCTCATTAATATAAGGATTAAAAATACAGAAAGTAAGTTCATTCCTTTAGACCTGTGTATGCCTCTCAGTATTATTTGGAGATTGTTATATTAATAATAACTTATATTTACAAGTTAAGGTCATATTAAATAGTTCTTAAAGATTGCTTTGGTGAGCAAGAGAAAATATGCTTCTGGCCAATGGTTTGCTGGTCTCTCAATGACCACTTTTTTATTTTAAAGTATAATACAACTAAAAAATACCAGCTGATTGGTTGGAAAGTTCAGATTCCTGCCAAGGCCACTGGTCAAGTTCTCCACATGCCTGGACGCCATTCTCTTAGGAAAGAGTATCAGTGGCATGCCAGAGAATATGTAATTGATTTTTCCAGTTCAATAAATTGAAATAGTGTGGTTTATCTATCAGATGAGATTTTTCTTGAAGGGACCAGTAATTTAAAAATTGGAAATTTATTTTATTTACTTATAGATAAGTGGCCGGCTAAGTTTTCTATTTTTTGTAGAGATGGGGCTAAGCTATATGTTTCTCAGACTGGGCTCAAATTCTTGGCTCAAGTGACTCTCCCTCTGCAGCCTCACAAAGTGTTGAGATTTACCGGCGTGAGCTACAAAAAACCAATCAAGAATTTATTTTATTTTATTTCATTTTATTAATTTTTTTACTCAGCACTATACCAACAAGGAAAGAATTTATTTTAAATTGCTGAATTTACTTATGTCATTATAACACTTTGCTTTTTGTCTATCAGTTTATTAAACTCTGATATGTAGTAGGGTAATTAATCTTTGAGAAATATAACTCTTATTTTCAGTGGAATCTCTTTTCTGGAAAATTAAGAAATCTTGACTGAGTTTCAGAAAGTAATGTTCTGTCTTTATTATCTAAATCTGTAACCAAGTTATTTCTAAAATTGAGTCTCTCAGCGTGATGGGAATGTAAAAAAAAAAAAATCCATCTTCTCTCTTGGAACTTTAAGTGGTTTAAGTAAAATTTTAAGTTTATTATAAAGAAAAGGTAATTTTTACCTATTTTACAGTTAAAACAGAGAAGAAGACGGTACAATTCAGTGATGATGTTCAAGTGGAGACAATAGAACCTGAGCCGGAACCAGCCTACATTGATGAAGTGAGTGAGTTCCATGGTGATAGTGGTTGGTACTTTGTATTGAGGTTGAAATGTTTTCCTCTTTAAAAAATCGGTTACTTGAATTTTTTTGTTATGCAAAATTTTTTATTTTTTTTGGTTATAAAATTTAAGCAATATAGACAAAGCAAAGATTGTTCTGAAACTTCCTCCGCAATCTCATTTTCACCATGTCAGTATCCCATTATTTTTAATTTCTGCTTAAAATTCCTTAGAATTGATTTACTATGATTTGTTTAATTCTCTTATTGGATACTTAAGTTGTTTACAGGTTACAGTTTTTACTACTATTACAATGTTGTAGTAAAAAAATGGTATGCATTTCAAAATACAAAATTCTTTGACTTGGGCTCGGCGCCTATAGCTCAACGGGCTAGGGCGCCAGCCACGTACACCTAAGGTGGCGGGTTCGAATCCCCAGCCCGGACCCGCCAAACAACAATGATGGCTGCAACCAAAAAATAGCCGGGCGTTGTGGCGGGTGCCTGTGGTCCCAGCTACTTGGGAGGCGGAGGCAGGAGACTCGCTTGAGCCCATGAGTTGGAGGTTGCTGTGAGCTGTAATGCCACGGCACTCTGCCCAGGGGGACAGCTTGAGGCTCTGTCTCAAAAAAAAAAAAAAAAAAAAAAAATTCTTTGACTTGGGAAGTGTTTTTAATACACTTGTGTTACTTTCACTCACTAATGATTTCTTTTTCTTTCTTTTTTTTTTTTTTCCCGCACTGTGTTGCCCTAGGTAGAGTGCTGTGGCATCACAGCTCACAGCAACCTCCAACTCTTGGGCTTAAGCAATTCTCTTGCCTCAGCCTCCCAGGTAGCGGAGACTACAGGTGCCCGCCACAATGCCTGGCTATTTTTTGTTGCAGTTGTTATTGTTGTTTAGCTGGCCCGGGCTGAGGCAGCCTCAGTTCATGTGGCCTGCACCATAACCACTGTGCTACCAGCGCCAAGCCTAATGATTCATTTCTTAATCTATTTTCTTTCTATGCAGAGCACAGACTTTTTTTGTTTTAAATAATTGCTTTGCTTATAAATAGTAATCTTTAAATTATTTGCCCTATGTGTAATAGTATAACTACATAGAAACTGGGCACAGAGAAAGTTTTTGTAACTTTTTTAGTACTCTTTGGTAGAATAGATTTGTTATACAATGTATAGATGTATTTATGTAATGATGGTTTTATTAGTTCCCTTAGTCCTTAGAACAAGAGATTTCAAAAAAGATCTAAGCCATTGGTTTCAGGTATCTTCCAGCCTTGCCCATACATAATAAACCATAAGTCTTTCTCTTTCCTTCTATGACAAACTGAAATACTGGTGGAAAGAAAATGTAAGTTAAATCCTTAGAGCCCCACTTAGAAGAACAGCTGTAATGTAACTGGTCTCTGCCATACTGAAACAGCTACTATATTCACCATGGGTAGGACAAGTAATCCCTGAGTGTTCGTCTTAAGCAGTGCCATCTTGGGGGGGGTGTTATATCTGCCTGTGTGGTTAAACTAAAGCTACTCTAAAGCAGGGCGATCCTCTAGCCTGATGTAAGAGATACATGGTGTGAGTTTAAGTGTGGCTCTGTCTTCTCATTTAAGACGATCTGTTAGCAGTTCCAGAAATACATATGAAGCCCTTTCAAGGCTCTGGCTTCATGTGGCACAAAAGAGCATAAAAGCAAAATTGGAACCTCCATTTCTATGAATTACAAAAGTTCTATATCCTTTATCTAGTTAATGAAGTGAGAGTATAGTGTTGCACGAAAAAGTTGGCTGCTTTTTGTATTGACTGTTTAATTCCTGTAGGAGAAAATGGACCAGCTATTACAGATGTTGCAAAGTACGGACCCCAGTGATGATCAGCCAGATCTACCAGAGCTACTTCATCTCGAGGGTAAACTCGTTTTACCATGTACCTTGTGAATAAGGAATAATCTAGTGTTATATCATAGAAAGGTTTTTGAGGATAATATTAAAAATTCCTCACTCTTCCTTGACCAAGGCTCACTTTTATATGCAGCTTAAATCTTAGGTAGAATTTGAATTCTTATACTTTTTTATCCAAATTAAATATTTTGTTTTGAGATCTGTACTTTAGATTGTCACCATCACACATTAAGGAGATAATTTTTGTGTTTTGTGGACTAAGGTTAACGAATGCATTTTTTATTACTTTAAATTAAAACTTTATTCCTTACATTATATGAATATCTGTCAAAGGCTTGCTTTCTTTTGTTGTGTTTTCTTATATTTAAATCTTGTCATCTTAGCAATGTGTCACCAGATGGGACCTCTCATTGATGAAAAGCTGGAAGATATTGACAGGTAAAAGAACATGAGGTGTATCTATCTTGTGTGCCTTCTTCCCTGAAGTTACCTCTGTAAACCACAGAGTGGGATGTATGTGCCTTTAAAAGATACTTTAAAGGAACCAGTGCTCATTCACTTGTTTTCTAGTAGATGTGGAGAATTAGACTCATGTGTCAGAGTGACAATTTAGCTGACCTTTACTATATTCGTCTTTTTTTTTTTTTTTAAGAGAAAGTCTCACTTTATTGCCCTTGGTAGAGTGCAGTGGCAGGCATCACAGCTCACAGCAACCTCCAACTCCTGGGCTGAGGCGATTCTCTTGCCTCAGCCTCCCAAGTGGTTGGGACTACAGGCACCTGCCACAACACCCAGCTCTTTTTTTGTTGTTGCAGTTTGGTTGGGGCTGCGTTTGATCCCGCCACCCTCAGTATATGGGGCCCATACCCTACTCACTGAGCCACAGGCGCCTCCCTACTATATACTCTGTTTAAAGATAAGGTTTGATTAATGTAATCTGTTAATTTGCTAAAGTGACATTACCAGAGCCCACAAATGACCTGCCAATAACTAGGGAAGCCCAGGTATAGTAAATAGGAGTTTCCCCAGCAAAGTACTTAAATCTTAAACAGTATCAGCTGCCTTAGGGCAAAAGTACAGGATTTTTTTCTCATAGGCCAAACTTTTTTTAAAGATAAAGAGTCTCACTCTGTTACCCTAGGTAGAGTGCTATGGCATCAGCCTAACTCAGTGCAAAACTGTTGGGCTCAAACGATTGTCTTGCCTCATCCTCCCAAGTAGCTGGGATTATAGGCATGCAGGACCCTACTAGCTAATTTTTCTATTTTTTTAGTAGAGATGGGGTCTTGCTCTTGTTCAGGCTAGTCTTGAACTCCTGAGCTCAAGTGATCCTGTTCTTGGCCTCCCAAAGCACTAGGATTACAGGTGTGAGCCATCGCTCCCCACCAGGCCAAATTTTAATAATGTCTACTGGTACTACTTTTTGCTATTTCTGCTATTTTGATATGTCATTATTTAAAGCATTATATGAGTTAAACAACAACCATGTTTCAAATTACTGTTTAATGTTTCAGAAAACACTCAGAACTCTCAGAACTTAATGTTAAAGTGATGGAGGCGCTTTCATTGTACACCAAATTGATGAATGAAGATCCAATGTATTCCATGTATGCAAAACTACAGAATCAGCAGTATTACATGCAGTCATCTGGCGTTTCTGGTTCTCAGGTAAGTTGTAAAAGTTCAAGTATATTTTAAATTCTTGAATGTGTTTGAAATTACGTGGACTAGGCTATGTTTTTGTGAAATGTGGAACTTCTAAAAATAATGTTTAGAATAAAAGTTTAAAAGAATGTTCTTACTTGACAATTATAATACACACTAATTATACCAGTACCTCTTTTAAAGAAATAATTTTAATTGTATAAGGACATGTAGCAGACTCAACCATCAAATTTTAAAAAAAAATAAGTACTTTGGTTCTTCCCCAGACCTTAGTCAATCAGAATGTTCAGGACTGAGGCCCATATTTTTAAAGTTATATGTAACCATTTGGTTAAGAACCTCAGTTGTCAAATCTATGTCAAATTTCTAATTATTACTAAATTATTCTTAGTATCTACATTTTTTGTTTACATATTGAGCTGCTTATGGTGTTATCACTTAAAAAAATAATGAAGAAGGTGGAAGGAAACTCTTTGAGATGATGGATATGTTTATAGTGTAGATTGTGGCGGTAGTTTCATGGGTGTATACTTATCTCCCAACTCATCAAGTCGTATTTACTAAATATATACAGCCTTTTATATGTCAATCATATCTCAATGAAGTAGTTTTTAAAAATCCAAAATATCTTAGAACTAGAAAAACTTTTAAGCATCTAGTGTTCTTCTAGACATCTTTGAAAGGAAGACTTAACTGCAGTGAAAGAAAAATGAAATGAAAAGCTGTATATGTATATATCTTAAAGAAAACAGCTGCTTTAATCTGGAATTTCCCCCCTTTACACGAGCCTGCATATGATGCAATACAGAGCCCTTTCCCCCTTTTCACCCAACCAAACCTTTCAAGGGCACCGTTTTCTCAAACTTAGCAAGTTCATGGTATAGAGAATAAGAAGCCAGGATGTCTGTTCCCTTTTATCCATGTGGAGAGGGGACAAACTTTGTTCAGATTAATTTTTAGCATAGTTCATTTCTCCTGAAATGAAAGCCCAGCGCCCTGAAGATGAACAACCAAGTCTCAGAACCTTGGGAATAGTGAACTCTTGGTCACTGTTCAAGTCAAACACAAAACCTTCATGTTCACTTTGCAAAGAACAGTAAAATTTCAGTTATGAGGACTAGGGTAGCTGTATTTATAACTCTTGTTGTTCCTTGACAGATATCCTGAGATGATCGTTGTCCTCATCTCTTGCTGGTTGTGTTACTGTCTTAACACATGGTAGCAGTCTTACCGCGTAGAGAATGGAGGTTCTCTTTTCAAACACAGGAAATGGAAGAATCTAATGAATCTTATGAAAGTTAGAACATATGTCTTTCAGACTTTGGGTATTTAAGACTTTTTGGGAAAAAAAATACATTGTTAAAATGCAAGAATAGGCAAACAGATCCAGCCTACTGCTTTTTTTTTCTTTTAATAAACTTTCATTGGAACGTAACTGCTCTTGTTTGTTTCTGCATTGTGACCAGCAGAGTTGAGTAGTTGTGACAGAGATCATATATGGTCCACCAAGCTTTAAAATGTTTACTTCTAGCCCCCCAAATTTTGCTGAGCCCCACTTTAGAAAGTTAGCTTATTCTAATGTTCAGTAAATTGCAACTTAGGAAATGTAAGTTGTATCCATAGGTGATTGCAGTCTATGGCTATAAAATGATAAATTCAAATGTACTTATTAAATATCCTTTGGGATTCCTTTTAAAATATCAACATGGAAGATATTAAATATGCTTAATGGAAAGAGAGACTATATTAGTATAAATTTTCAAAGAGAAGTTTTTTTAATGCTTCTGTATGGAAATAACAATACATTTAATATTTAACTAAAAGCATTAGTTAATTCACTAATTCATCAGTCCACTTCACTACAATGTTTTTTTAAACTGCCTGTTGACAGAAGTAAATTTTAAAAAGATTACACAGTGGTAAGTTTTGTTCTTTTTGTAACCATATGCCCTCTACGGTATGCCTATTAAAATTTCAGAATCAAATCTGTTTTCTCATTAACTACTCTAGGTATATGCAGCGCCGCCTCAGAGTGGTGCTTACCTGGTAGCAGGAAACGCACAGATGAGCCATCTCCAGAGCTACAGTCTTCCCCCGGAACAGCTGTCTTCTTTCAGCCAAGGAGTGGTCCCACCGTCGGCAAACCCAGCCCTTCCCAGTCAGCAGACCCAGGCTTCTTACCCAAAGTAATTTGATGACTAACTGTTGTTTGGAGGTAGTACTGTTGAAACTCTTTAAGTATCCCCAGTCATCTTAACTATGAGGATGCCTGTGGTTACAGCACCAGCTGGGGTTTCCTGACTCAGTCAACTCCTGTGTTTTGGTTTCAGTTCTGTATTTTTTTATATTACTCTTAAGTTTTTATTTGACTCTATGGTGCTGTTTGATAATGTCTTTAAAGAAACTTAAGTTAGGTAACTATAACTTATCATTTTCCCACGCATTTCATGTAAAATCTAAGTTCCATTATTATTGTTTTAGAATATAATACTTCTGGGCTATTTATTAAAGATAAATGTTTTCTTCTTTTTGCCCTATGTTGGAGTTCACCTCATAGCTGGGTATACCATTTGAAAAGAGAAGATACGAAAAGCTGAGTGCCCCTGTGGCTCATGAGGCAGACAGACGTGATGACTAAGGCCCATCTGCTTCTGGCATTTACTTATCATACTCTCTATCCTGTAGATGAGTGGTTATAATTATATACATTCTTTTGTGTTTTAGTGGGAATCTAAGTTAATGTCTTTCCCTTGAAGCAAATAAAGGGTAGATATTCTGACTAATAATAGAGGTTTCTAGGTGGCAGAGACACACTAGCTACAAGCTTTTTTGTCAGTGTGAGGGTTACCCGAGAGTGCTTCTGTTCTGCCCTCACTGTTCTATTATTCATTCTCAAAGAGTCATGTGTTGGGAATGCTTCGGGATTTTCAGGCAGTATTCTGTTGTCATAATCAAGTATTCTGAAGTGACCTTAAGGAGGAGGATGTTAGACCTATTATAAGCTCAAAAACTGGGGCCTCTCTAGTGGGTTATATATCTTAGAAAAAAATGTGAAATGTCACTTTGTTGCAGGGGTTTTATAAAGTTGAAATCTAGTGAAAATGAATATATGTATATGAAAAATAAGCCAGCAGCTATTCTGAGAAGAGTAGCATGTTGCTTTTAAAGCTAGATACATAGTGGGTAGAGGTGGGCATTGTTGAGAAGACAACCAGTGTCCATGAGTGACGTGGAAACCCTTCCGCCATTTTACACTAAGTTTCCCCTGCTTCCCCTCTGTTTTACTTTGTTTTACATGCTGCCCTAAATGCCTTGTTACTAGGGCTTATTTGGGACCCACTCTTAAAGGTCAGGCGGGGCCTGGGGAAATCTCCTTGTCAGTAAGATGCCCTGTTGGTCGGAGCTTTCACTGCACAGCTCTGTGGTGGGAAGCATCTTGCTGCTGCTCTCTGGGGCCTGCTCTGTTTGCTTCTGCAGTCAGGATAGGAAATTGCTGGCGTGTCGCCTGACCCTACTGATAGAGTGTAGCTATTAATGTCCCCTCTCAAGGAACACATGTTCATTTCAACAGGTGCTTTTTGAAGAGCATTTCTTTGGAATATTTAGCCCTCTCATCCTGGTACATTCCTGCTTATTTTTTAGTTCTTAGCTTAGTATCGTTTTCACTAGGAGGCTCTTCTTGGCTTCCTAGTCTCAGCCTGGAGCCCCTGTGTGCCTGCTCTCAGAGGCCCCTGAGCATTCCCTGTCTCCTGTCTGGTAGTTCCCTTTTACTTGGTGTATCCAGGCTGCATTATGGTATCTTGAGAGCTGGAACTGAGTCTCTTTTATCTTTATAACCACACTGTGTAGCACAGGATTTTACACTGGATAGGAACTCAGTATGTGTTTGATAAATAAAATGTGTAGGTATTACTGATGACAGTTTCAAGTGCTGTATTAGGGCAGTTTGGTATATTTTTATATTTCTTACAAAGGCTTCACAAAGGCTTTTACAAAAGCTTTGAGGCCAGTTAAAAATCTGTATAAATCTATAAGAGGTAATATATATTTACAAATAGATGAAAACAAGTGTGTATGCATTTAAATGGGGAAACAAGGAAATAAGAGGAAATCGCTGACAGTAAATTTAGGATACTAAAGTTGGAAGGGGTGAGGGTTAGAAGCCTCCTTGCTAGGATACTGCATAATTGACTCAAGCTTTTTCTAGTTGCAAACCAAGGTCAGTGAGGATTTTTATTGTTGTTGGTTTTGATAGGCATGTTTTTGAGTGCTCCTTACTTCCTAGCTACAAGGCTGTTACTTATTCTTTTTATATAATTTTGGTGTTTAGACTTAACCCTTTTTCAGGCTTCTGTCCTTGGACAATCTTAATTGGCGAAGGTGGCACTGATGCAGTTTTCTGATGCTACACACTTGGTGATGGTAATATTATAAGGCAATCATAAAAACAACTGACAGCATTATAAGGTCCCCAAAACTTATGTGTATGATTTCAGTTTGTGTATTATTTCAGTTTGCCTCTGTCACTCAGATGTTCATTGAACATTTAGTGTCTCCCCTGTGCTAGACTTGTCACTTACAAGCATGGTTTAGAGTTACTTAGCTTCAAGGTAGTAGGGGCAAACCCATAAGAAATGTGTAATTTATTACAACACAATTTCCAAGGGTACACAGCTTGTGCTTGAGGATCCTCAGGGCTTGAGGTCATTTTCAAGAAAATACACTCAAGCTGTGTTGTCCTTAGCCAAGAGACAGAAACGAAAGGAGGATGTTCCATCCTGACAAAGGTGTGGTAGTGTGGAATGATAACGGTACACAGTGAATGAACACAGGTATCAGGTGTGACAGATACGGGATGTGTCGGGCATTACCAACAGTGTGCTGTTTCTAAAGGATTGACAGATGTGATGTGGGGGTGGGAAATACACTCAGAGAAGTTGACAGTGACCTGAATGAGTGGCCCTAGATATCAGGTTAAGGATAACAAGAAAGCCCATGAAAGGCTTTAAATGACAATAGGGTAGACGGCTTCCTAGGGGCAAGATTAGAAACCAGGAGACCATGTATTAGGCCAAATATAATGAGAGCCTGACTAAGATACAGTAATGCTAATGGGAAAGGGTTTTTTAGGAAATACCAAATAATTGCACATCAGGTGGTGTGTTTGTGAAATAGTGTAGAACAGAGATAAGAGGAAGTAGTGAGTGAACTGCAGGATTGTGCCCCACGCCACCCTGTGGACAGTAGAATGGTATGAATGGGGAGTGATTACAGTAGCAATATTTACATGGTTAAGTATGTGCTGTGTACTGTGCTGCACACTATACATATGGACTCATTAAATTTCTCATAAAAACCTGCACTATTATCTCCACTTTATACATGGGGAAACTGAGGCATGGGGAGAGGCACAAGGTCCCACTTAGCTAATATTCAAAACCAGGCATTCTGGTCTGGAGCTTAGCACACAGTCTGTATATTATATCACTGCAGCATTGTGGCCCACTCTGGTATAAATAATAGTGCAGAATTTGACTCTTGCAATACAGCTTTACATCTCTCAGCACTTAGAGAATAAAGGGTGATGCCACAGTTAAGCTGTCACATTAGTTGGTGGAATGTACATTAAATTAGTATCTCCTAGAAGAATTAACTTATCTAGCAATAACAAATTAATTTAAACAAGGGTATTAAATTTATCAGCAATGGGTTTATAAACAATTTGTAATTGAAAGAATGTTTAGAAATAAGTAGTGAAAATTTGGGCAGTTGCCCATTATATAGCTTGTTTTACATTAGTACAAATGTAGGGGAAGTTTTCCAGTTTAAGCATCTTAGTAGTTCTTTGCATGGCTAACTTAGTGTCCTACACACAGCCAACTCTCATCTGTCAGGTTAGAGATAGAAGATGGGCAGTAGAGACAGTGAATAAGGACAACTCTTTGGAGGATTATTTTTTCTTGTTATAAGAGCAGTGCCCAGTAGAGGGGCCTAAGATGCAAGCATTGACAGCTGGTCAGCTGTAGCAAGAGGGAAAGCAGAGTTCGTGAATGGTATAGGTACAGAAAGTTGATATATGTGGTGGAAAGTAAATGCTTTTGTATGTGGAGGGAAATCAGAGGTTACTAGGCTTTCATCTCCCCTGGTTATCAGTGTCAAGGACCTGATGATTTCCGTGTTGGCAGATCCCATGGTTGACTCAGTTCTCCTCCTACTAAATTTGACAAATAGTTCATTATTCCCTCCTCTTTCTTGAAATGCTTTCTTCACTTGGCCGTGGCTACTCTCAGCTTCCCTGTCTCCTTTGCCCAATGCCTCTTTATCCTCCTGATTTCAAGGTCTAGGGCTCAGTATGTGGACTGCCCCTTTCTTTGCTTGCAGTCACTCCCCAGGGGTCTCCTTTAGCTCCATGACTGTGAAAGCCCCATACGTGCTGATAACTCCCAGTGTCTGTTTCTCTTTCTTTCTTCTGGATGACACACTTAATAGCTGATGTCCTGTACAATATCTTTTCTTGTATATCTCTCTTGACATGTCCAAGAACATACTTTGATCTTCCTCATCCCCCTTCTCCCCCCGTCTACCGTAGTCAACTCTTTTTCAGCAAATGGCCACTCTACCAGGTATTCCTAACAGTTGCTTAGTTCCAAACCTCAGGCATTCTGGACTACTCTGTTTTCAAATTTTGAAGGCACTATCTTCAAAACATGTCCAGAGTCTGACCCTTTTCTTTCATCTCCAGCATTACCAGCGTGGCTCTGGTGCCTGTCAGCTCTCCCCAGAGTGACTGTAACAGCCTCCAGTCTGTCCTTGCTCCTCTCCTTATCCTACAGTGAGGGTGTTGCTTCCGCTCAAAACCAACCACTTTCTTTCCTGCTCACTCACAGTATGAGCCAGAGTCCTAATCGTGGTCATCAGGGCACCATGCATTCTCTCTCCTACCCACCTCTAATTCTCCCACTTATCTTACCTGCCAGCCCTGCTCACCCTGCTGCAGGCCTCATGGCCTTCTTGCTGTTCCTTGAACACGCCTGGCGTTTTCTCTTCTCAACAGCTTCTCTGCCTGAAATATGCTTTTCCTCAGTAATTAATCTGGTTCACTCCTTCACTTTTTTTTCAGATCTTTTCTTAAATGTTGCCTTATCTGAGAGGCCCCCCCTCGGGACCAGGGACTCTGGGTCCTCCCTCCAATGCTGTAGTTTTTCATAGCCACCATCACTACTTCACACATTATATATTTATTACCCTTTTTCTCCTACCATATTGTAAGCTGCAAGACTTATTTTTCTCTTTTTTTAGTGGTATCACAGTGCCTAAAATAACGATGTTTGACAAATATAGATATTTAAGAAAAACTTACTAAATGAATTGAATGTATATGCATGAATGTTATTAAATAGCTTTCCTGTTTATGTGTAAATGGCTCTATCGTTCAATATTTATCTCACTGGGTATTCTCTCTCCACAGCACAATGGTCAGTTCTGTGCAAGGAAACACATATCCCAGCCAGGCTTCAGTATACAGTCCCCCGCCAGCGGCCGCAACTGCTGATGTCACTCTGTACCAGAATGCAGGAACTGCTGTGACCCAGGTGCCAAACTATAGTTTAACATCAGCAGCCCTGCCTCAGCCAGGAGGTGGTCAGCAGCCACCGCAGCCACAGCAGCCATATTCTCAGAAGGCTCTGCTATAGGACCTGGGCTTCCCTGTGCAGTATCTACGAGTGCCGCTGACAATGTTACGAGATTCATTAATACCTTATGATTTGTTTACGCTCAGCTTATAGGAATCTATCTTGGTCAACAGGTTCAAATATTCAAGAAGGTAGAACTCTGTTTAATTTACATTGACTTTTTAGAGGTTCTCCCCTCTCCTTGCCCTCCGCCCACAAGGAATGAAACTACTTACAACGTTTAATTCCTTTCATAATATGAAAGAAATGATACAGAGATTATTTGTCTCATAAAATTACCTGGTCTGCAAAAAGTCAACCTTACACAAACTGTTGTGGCGAATGTTAATGTACATATATTGATATGTGACTTCAGTAGTGGCCATTGAATCACAGTGGTGATCATGTGAATATATTTAACACTGTGTTAAATTAATTTACATTGCTATTTTATTTTAATCATGAACAACTACCATGTTTCTTAATATTTTGTGTAAATTTAAGATAATTGCACTATCCTTTTAAACTGCAAGAAAACAAAGTTGGAGCCTTGTCTCCCGGAAGGCACTCTGTTGTCTGTGTTTCAGTTTCACATTAAACTGAACTTTTCTTTTACTAATTGTGAGCTAAACATATACATATATATATATTATATATAAAATGTCTTTCTGTAGCCTCTGCATACTACTAGCTGTCATCACACCAGCGTACAGTAGCTAAAAATTTTTGGTGCAAGTGTAGCAAATGATAATGTTCCCTTTTGAACTTTCACATTTTGGCATGATATTTCAGAATATTGTGGGACCATGAGACAAAATTAGGTAGGATCACATTCTTTATATCTTATTTTTAAAGAAACGATGTGGATTTACATTTTTTTAGGTGAAGGTAGTAATTAGGTTTCTAAGCTGTATACTGTATTTATTGGTGGCAGTGACACCAAAGATAGAGGCAATGGATAGAAATTTTTAAACTGGAAAGAAAACATGAATACACTACATTTTCAAAGTCTCTTATAATTTGTTAGGATATAAACAAAATTTGATTCATCTGTCTTACCCCATTACTAGTCTTATACATACGTCTTTAACACATTGTATCCTTTAATTCTTCATTAAAGTGGATGTAAGTAGCTGTTTCAAAGTAATCTATATTCCTGCCTTTACTTAACAGTTGATGTATTTATTATTACCTTTCAAACTGGATTTTCGGGCTGTTCTTTCCTGACTTTTAAAGTTCTGATGGAATTATTTTGGTTTTGTACTCAGGAGTATTTTGATTGAATGCATTTTTTTGGATTCTTATGAAGAATGTTTTCCACTGATGTTTTAATCTTTGAAATGTTTATGATTTCCCTGATTTGCTACCCCATTATTTTAACACTTTCATTTAAAGAATTGAAAGATTGAGTTGAGCCCTCTATTTAATGACTTGATTTAATAGGTAACAAACTACAAAAGAAAAATTGATTAATATTTTCTAAGACTATTGTAATCAAGTAGCTTGTTTGTTTTCTTTTTGACAAATGATTCCATTTTCGGCAAATAATCTTAATGGTGACTAATGTCACAGGCTCAGATTTATAAAGCACCATTTCCAATTTCAGTGTTTTACTCTGGTGGTGTGCCTTCCAGAGTGTGCTGCCTTGAAGTTGTAACTTTAAAATAGGAATTCAAATCTCACATTTTAAATATTTTTAATAATTTAAAAAATATTTTTAATTACTTTTGATAAGATTATAATCTTTCACTTTAATTTTAATATCATTTAACTGATACACTTTTCCCCAAGTTACACGATTTTTTTTGTCTTTTGATAAACTCCTATTTGCCAATGACAAATGTATCATTTCCCCTTTTTAATTTTGATGTCTTTCATGCTGTAAAGCCAATGACATATGCTTTTTGCCCTATAAAATAAGTCAATGATTAATTGAAAAAAAAAAACTATCTTAATAATGCATATGCTGTTTTCCTTACCTATTAGATTACTAAGCTTATAAACATTTACATGATCTATACTTCAAACTGATGTTATTTTAGTTTATGCCTTTCACTTATTTAAGTATGAAATACCAGGTGGAGAAATTCCAATGAAAATGAAGCACTGGCTTTCTGTCAAACTAACATGACAAGGGTGGAAGGAGGAAGAGACGGGCTCACAGACGATTTTGTTCTGATACCTGTGTGTTTTGCACTTTCAAAAAATTTTTTTGTCAAAAGCTGTCCTTATTTTGAAGGAGTAGAATTACTTATAAAATGAACTAGCTACAATGTAAACTTCTATGAAGCAAATTTGATTTCTCAGTTTATTTCTTTTATAAAGTTTCGAGGTATGTTCCGTAAAACAGAGTCATCCAAATGGAAGAAATTCAATTCAGTTATGATCTAGCTTAAGTAGCTGGCAGGCGCCTTGGCCAGCTGGATGTGGTAAGATGACGGTGCCCGAACCCTGGAGGAGCTACATATGTTTAATGTGCTTTCTGCAGTCTTCTCTGACTCTGCCCTTCCCCTTCACATTACCTGTCTCTCCTGCTCCATGGGGGCCTTTTTATGTGCCTGGAGAATCACTTATTCATAGTAAATACCTCTAGACCTTTGTTTCTGTACCTCTTTGTTTTTCTCTTTAAAATGCTTAACAGACCAGCACCATCATTCTTTTCTAGTAGATACAGCTTTCATATATGACATATGTATGGATAATTCAGCTTACAAATGTCTTTCGTTCTAAGCTTCAGGTTTATTTGGGACAAATTTGTGCCCTATATGATAAGCGATGCAACTAAAAATGTTACAGAAATTATTTTCCAAAATGAGGTTTATTGGTATAATTGCTCAAATTTTCATTTGTTTAGTATACATTAAGATCACTGTCTTTTTCTCATCTATTTCCTTGGTTTACTTACTATTGTACTAGTGCTCATAGCTTGCTTCCTGTTATATCACTTTTGAAACAATAACAAAACAGTGTAAATTTTTCACTCTTGTATCACTTTCCAGGGTTTTTTCCTTTTGGTTTTTGTTCTTTAGGATGATTGTTTATACCGCTTAGATAAAATAAATGGAAGAAACATACCTAAATATTTTCTTAAAGGCCGTATATATTCAGTTATCTTTTGTTTTAGAATCACAATTCAGTTAAGCGTTTTTGTCAAGTACTTAAATTGTTTTCTGTGTTATTTATAATGACTTGCCTATCTGGTTTTCAAGAGAAGCTGTCTCAGTTTTGTTTATTTTTGTTTAGAATGTACTTCTTTGAAATTTCTATACTTTATGGTCTATATTTGTGAAGTGTTCTTAGTTTCAAAAATATTTTTTCCTTATGACATTGTAGTCTCAATATTTAAAATCCTAGATTACCCTGATGAACAGAATTTAGTATTTGATTGGTGCTAACTTGTGGTTACACTTTACTGTGCTGATTTTCCAACTCCTTAGCTTCTGCTGACACTCCCCACTGCCACTGTTGTTAGTTCCCTGCTTCTTTTAGTCTCATGACATTTCTGATAGTAAATTATTAAAAGTCAGTAAATCCCTGGATAAAAGCAAAAGAAATTGATTTTAAAGAGCTTTTGGTGATCAGAGTCTTAAAAAGAAATAGTTCTATACATTTTATAAAAGTATCCGTTGTTTTTGATCAGATAGCCTGATGAGTAACAAATTTTTTTGATATGTTGCCTTAAAATATGTATGTATGTTTACAAATTGTACAACTTCTGTGCTAATGCATGTCTTATATTTTGAATCACACCAAAAATAGATATCGTAGAAGGAATAGAGAAAAAGGTATTAATAGAAATTTTAATATTTTCTGTCTATATCTCAGTGGTTTGTTTTGCCTGTGCCCTAGGATGTTTGCACCCAATTTGAAGACCACTCGGTTTAGACTAGACTGAAGGGGTATCTAACATGGCCTGGGCCTTGTGCAGATTATTTGTGGTCTGTTTTGCTTATCTCTAGTGTCGGATATCACAAAAAGTATGCACAGATCTTTCACTCATCAGCTTTTGTTAGTGTTTGTGTAATTAATGTATGGTCATGTTCTTCCAGTGTATAGCAGAAGAGAAAAAAGGTTACACACCCCTGGATCAGAGGTTAAGATTTAACAGCTGAGGGAAGTAGGAATTATAATACTAAATTGGCCCCTTGAAGTATCTGGTACTATAAGTAGCACTTTTACCAGTGACTTTTGTGTTGAGAAGTTTCAGACCTACAGAAAGATTGAAAGAGCAATACATTGAACACCCAGATACTATTCATCTAGATTTGTGAGTCATTAACAATTTGCCACGTTTGCTTTATCTTACCTCCTGGTGAATGTTTATATATACACGTGTGTTATGTATATAGGAGTGTCCATATGTGTACACACAGGCACTCTTGTATAAACATACAGATTACAGACATTGTAAACTATACTCCTAAGTACTCCTTTGTATACCTTGTAAGGATCAGGACAGTTTTCTCTATAATCTAAACCATTATCATCACATCTAAGTAAAGTAACAAAAATTCTGCAATATATTGTTCTTGAATGTTCCCTAAACTGTCTTTTATAGATGTATATATTTTTTGAAATCCAACGCTATTCCACAAATATATACCACATTTTTTTTCAATTTATTCTCTATGAGCCTGGGTTAATGGTCTCTTCCTCTATGACATGGACTCCTTAAAGATCAATGCCAGTTGTCTTATGGAATGTACCACATTCTGGATTTATCTCTTTGTTTGTTTATGACATTAATTTGATACTTTTTATCAAGGGTCAAAAGATGGTGACTCTCTGTCATTACTTGTTCCTAAAAGAATTAGAGTCAGAACCATATGACTTGTGGTTAGAAGTGTTGAAACTAAATGTTTCAGTATTATATTGGAAGCACATGAATGAGTATTGTTAACCTTAGAGTGTAGTTACTCTATATAATAGACTGTGTCCTCAGGCCTTGATGCTACTGTAATTCAGTAGTTTTGTGTTCATTTTAAATCGTGTTTAGAATAACTGAAGCAAATGGCACCCCCCTACACTTCCCCATTCAAACTAAAATGAGCTTTTCTCAGTTTGTTCACCTATCTGATTCAGTTTGGGTAGCTTTTAATAATCATCAGCAATTATAGGGCTATGTATGGTTTAAAGGACTACTCATTATCTTATAGTCATACCTCTGTTTAGATATTGAAATCACCGAAGGGGAGAAGTCCTTTCTTTTTAAAAGTGCTGATCCTGACTTCTTTTTCTTAAGTTGGAAAGGAAACTTTCCATTATTGGAAGCAGGGTGAATGGAATATTTAACTACGGTCATCTTAGAAACAAACAAGTTATAGTAATGTATACTATCAAGTTATTAAATAGCTAGTTTAGGACCTAAGGCATTTTCAGTTAGTTAATGGGTTTTTTAAAAAGTGGAATAAATGTGTATAATTTCATTGTTCTGTGGCAGGGTATTTGAGTTTTCTTAACTGTAGTACTGTTAACATACCTTGTTACTTTTTAAAAGATATCTGGTCTATAAACAATTAAGAATGTTTTTTGTTAAATTAATTACATGCAGTATTGTCTGTTGGCCAGATAAGATGTCAAACAGGAAAATGTATGTAAAACATTCATGTGATATGGTTTTTTTCCTAAAAAAAAAACACAGAAGGAAATATATCTGTTTACTATTTTGGAATTTGTTTCTCCAAAACAGCTTGGAAGGGTTCGATGTAAGTAATTCTGTAATCTAAAAATGCAATGATAACAGTCTATTGGAGTTGCTAAAAATGCAGTTGTAATCAAAAATATACTTAAATTCACTTACTATTTATATCAAGTTCATGTCTATAAAATGGCATATGATAAAATGATTTCATTAATTTGCTTTATATATGTATCATAGTTTGTGACAACATGAATTTCTTTTAAACTAAGTACTGGATGGTGGTGATGGTATTTAGGGTTGAAGATAAGAATAAGAACTAAAGTTGTAGGAATTTACTGGTCTATTCTGCTATTAAGTGGAAATTTCTGTTCATATCCCTAGGAATTCAGAGGACTAGATTTTAACTCAGAGGTATCTTTTGTCAAAAGAATTATCTTGGTAGGTATGTGATCTTGTGCAGTTCCGTGATTCTCTGTGGACCATCTAGTACTCACTAATAAATTGTA